TTGTATCTCTATTTGTATATCTACTAACTCTTTGCTCACTGTTTGGTACCATATGTGCTGGAAAATGTGAAGTTATTTTGTTTTATCCAATTATTGTTAGATAAATAGAAGGAGCACAAAGTGATATATTAGAGAGTTGTACCTACAAAAAATGAATTGCATGTGGACGATTGTTAATTTGGAAACCGTCGTGTTAAACTATATTGCACCAAAGAAAAAAAAAGATTTAGTTTGTTCGATGACGAGGATGTGAAAAACATGATTCGGTTACATGTTTGTTGGAAAGTAAATATTGTAGAGATACTTGCCATTGAAAGAAATAAAAGTCCGACCATTGCATGAAATGAAAGACCGGATGATGGAGTTCAATCCATCTCGATGAGCATGAGCGGATAATGTCGCTTTCATAATATTAATGAACTTATTATTGAAATATGGTGTATTTGTATTATATCCTACTTCATTAATTTTTTAACTAGTTCCATTATTTATAAATTTTTGTATTATTTTGTCATGAACGCAGGAAAATCGTACCGTATGTTGATTTCTCGGAAGGAGAATCGGATTTGTTGGTGCAAGATAAATCAATCGATTGTTGCAGATTTTGCATCAAATGAGAGGGGCAGATATTCAGTGGCGGCGTCGATGAATTTCAAAAGCGTGTATAATTCAATTAGTACATACTTTCGTTGACACAAAAGAAAATGGATTATGTAGCACCCTAATTTTATTGATCTATGAGATTGCTCGACTTTAGTCCCAAGAAATAGCAAGTAAATTATTCTAAGTCTCAAGAATTCAATCCAAGTACTTAAGTTTAAAGTCAATGGGACAAGACAAAGAGTGGAAGTCGAAGCAAAAGTATACCGCATAGAGAGGCTCTCATGAAAATGATAGAGTCGATTAAGTACCAAATTAAATTGGTGAAGTTCCAAGCACAAAAGGTTAATTCAAAATTTAATCCTAAGTCTAATTAATTAAATTGGTAAATATGTCAATGAATATAATTTATTAAGTCAAGAAATACAATTTAATTTTTATAAGCCAAGGAGGTTAAGTAGGACTTTATAAATCTCGAGCCAAACGCATTATGTTTTTGCATAAAGATCGCCTAGCGGCAAGATGGTAGAGAATGGGGCCTTGAAGGTCTGGACTCGCCTAGACCCGGGTTCGAGTTCCCCTCCGTGCGATCCTTCGACATTTTTTTTTTTTTTGCACTCATACTAAAATTTAATTAGTACTCGTTTTATCCAAATTAGTACCGCAACTTCGTACCGCATCTTCTTCTACTTGGTACTTGTTTTAAAGCGATTAGTACTTACTTTTAATTACTATAAGTCCAAAAGAATGGTGGAAGGATCGCGCAGAGGGGGACTCAAACCCCGGTCTGGACGAGTCCACACCCTCAAGGCCACCTCCTCTACCATCTTACCGCTAGACGATCGCATTTATTTATGCGCAAATTTAATTCTTATGCTTTTGGGTCGAGATTTATAAAGTCCTACTTAACCTTCTTGGCTTATAAAAATTAACTTGTACTTATTGACTTAATAAATTATATTAATTAGCATTTTTCTATTTTAATTAAAAACTTAGACTTATGATTAATATTTGAATTAACCGTTTGTACTTGGAATTTCACTAATTTAACTTGGCGCTTAAAATATTAAATTTATGTACTTGGATTAAATTCTCGAGACTTAGAACAATTTACTTGCTATTTCTTGGGACTAAAGTCGAGCAATCTCATAGATGAATAAAATTAGGGCGCTACATAATCCATTTTCGTTGAATCAACGAAAGTAGGTACTGATTGAATTAAAATTGGTACTACAAAGAAACAAATGTGGTACTATTGTAGATAAAACTGGTACTGTTTCAGGTACTACAAATAAGCAAACTGGTACTATTATAGGTAAAACCGGTGCTTTTGTGTGTTCATTACAAGTGGTACTGAAGACCCAATATCAGGTACTACAACAATATAAAATTGGTACTATCTTACTCTATGTTTGGTTCTACTTTTTGTAAATATTGGCCAAAATTGAAATAATCTATTTTCATTCACAAAAGTAGGTACTAATCGATTAACAACAGGTACCACATAGAAAAAGATGTAGTACTATTTAAGCTAAAACAGGTACTGTTTTAGGAATCGTGATTTTTTCTATCTTTCATGTCTACCTTTTCACGTGGATCGTTTACGCGCAATTTGGATGAAAAATAGTACAAGTTAAAACATATAGGTAGAATTTGGAGTAGTCATGTATGATGATTCTATAAGATGAAGTGTGTCATTCAATGAAATGAAGTGTATTCGTAGTGTTTTCTCATTAGTGTGTCAAACTCAATTAAAAACATTTTAAATCTCATATAAACTAATGTGAGAGTGATCATGAGTCATATATACATCATTTTAGACTAAAATTCGGTATTTTTATGTGTTCATTACAAGTAGTACTGAAAACCCAATATCAAGTACTACAACAATATAAAATTGGTACTATCTTACTTTATGTCTGGTACTACTTCTTATAAATGTTGACCAAAATTGTAATAATTCATTTTCATTCACAAAAGTAGCTATTGACCGATTAACAACAGGTAGCACATAGAAGAAGATGTGGTACTATTTTAGCTAAAACATGTACTGTTTTAGGAATCGTAATTTTTTCAATCTTTCATGTTTACCTTTTCACGTGGATCGTTAACACGCAATTTGGATGAAAAATAGTGAAAGTTAAAACATATAGGTAGAATTTGGAGTAGTCATGTATGGTGATTCTATGAGATGAAGCGTGTCATTCAATGAAATAAAGTGTATTAGTAGTGTTTTCTCATTAGTGTGTCGAGTTCATGACCATTTTACGATTAAAGTAAATTAAAAACATTTTAAATCTCATATAAACTAATGTGAGTGTGATTATGGGTCATATATACATCATTTGAGACCGAAGAACAAGTGGTACTAAATACCCAATATCTGGTTCTAAACGCCGAAAGCTGGTATTATTCTATTCTAGGTTTGGTACCAATTATTGCAAATGTTGACCACAATTGAATAATCTATTTTTGTTGACCAAAAGTTGGTACTAATTGATCAAAAACAGGTACCACGTAGAAGATGATGCAGTACTAAATTGGCTAAAACAGGTACTATTTTAATAATCGTGATTTCTCTAATCCTTCATGTCTACCATGACACGTGAATTGTTCACGCCTGATGGATGAAAATTAGTGAAATTTAGAAAATATATGTAAAATTTCGAGTAGTCATGTATGATGATTCTATGACATGAAGTGCGTCATTGAATGAAATGAAGTGTATTAGTAGTGTTTTCTCATTAGTGTGTCGAGTGCCGAGCTAAACGAGAACATAGATTAAACGGGGAAACAAATGTCATTGTCACCGAGACGGCACTTCGACCGGCCGACGTGGGGCCGGTCTCCACAGAAGTCGAGCTAACAAATAGATTCCCGAAGATCGTGAGATGAACGGATGTTCAAGAGCCGACCTGAGGATTTTCACGTGACCGACCCTCGGATAAGGGTAGTGCTCAGAAATAATATAATAAAGCCACTTGGCAACTGATGATGGTCGATGGGACAAGCCGCCATAGCCTGTCACCCTATGGTATCTAGCCCGACAAAAAGCCTGTCAACATTAAATGCCTACCATGTGTGCATTAAATGTCTGACAGGTAATGATTAAAAATACCTCAAATCGCATTAAATAACTGTTAGAGAGGCGCCGACCTGCCCTGCAGAAGTACTGTGTGACAAGACTAGTGAACAGTGTCTGAACAGTGCCCGATCTGGAGACACTATAAATAGAATATCCAATTCATTTATTAGGGGTTGTTGAAATCATCAACTACTACTTTCTCTCTAGAATTCTGTAATAAATTTTCGTGATTATTCCCAAGTGTAAGAAAAATGCCGACCTCATTATCAAAGGCTGACCTCGTAACTATTTAATAAAACCCAATAAAATTGTATTTCTTTCCTGCCTTTTATTCCTAACTCTCACTAAATTCTATTTTAACCGTTGATCGGATATGTCCATCAACAATGATGATAACAATAATAATACTAATAATAATAATAATAATAATAATAATTTTAAATAAAATGTATGAAAAGGGCATTTTTGAAAATCGGGACGCTGCATTATATTTTTTTTTCAAGTGGGTTGGATAAAATTTAATTTATAGTGCTCATAGAATTTCTTTTTTTTTTTAGTGTGGATCTAGGCACACACTAGTCCATTGGGTACGCCCGTGGTAACGGGTATACTTGGAACTTTTTTATATAGTTATCAGTTTTCATATGTAAGTATTAAATATCAGTCTAGTGAAATCATTGATATTTCTAAATAAAAGAAGTATTGATAAATATCCTACAATAAATCTAGTACACTTGAATGTCAACACATCATCGCTTATCATTTTGTTCATAGAATTTTCGATATAGTTATCTACCTTTGTTACATAGTACGGTTGAATCGAACAATAATCTTCCATTCAATAGTTCTTCATTCTCTATGAATCTTGTTTAATGATATATAGACATATGTATTTTACCTATATTGCAAACCTAATATATCTTGTTTAATGAAACCAATTGTTTTCCATTTACTCCTTGAACATTGTCTAAGTTAGACGTGGGGTTGTAACATTTGCCACTTAGTACATGTCAAATCAAACCAATTATTCTTAATTTACTCCTCTCAAACACTAAACACACAAGCATATTCACTACACTCACATATGCTTATATATATGACATCTCAACATCCAAAAGAAAAACACACACATATAAACAACACTAAAGCTGTGTTTTCCATAGTTCTTCCCACGTACGGCCATAGTAATTGGCATCCTTGTGTTCTTCAAATGTTCAAATAAAAAACATATGTGCATTTTTTTTTCTTTATTTCGAGCTCACAAAGAAACTTTAATTTGTTACGTGCAGAGTGTATAGTAAGAGCGTAAACGGAGATGGCACGATTGGCCGCCATTTGGTGGTTGTTGTGGGCCGGTGTTGCGTTTATAGAAGCAGAAAATGAGGCAAAGTACAAAGACCCGAAACAGTCGTTGAATGTGAGGATCAGAGATTTGATGAAGAGAATGACAGTTGAAGAGAAGATTGGGCAGATGACTCAGATTGAGAGAAAGTTGGCTTCACCAAGTCTTGTCAACAAGTATTTCATTGGTATATATATGCATCCTTTTTTATTTATTTTTTTTAATTGAGTTTCGAGTGAGATTTAATTTTATACACATATATATATATATTCATTCTCAGATAATTTTTAAAATAATTTTTATTTTTTTACAAACCACATATCCATTTACTCAAACGCGTTTTCCTACTTACAGTGGCCACGAGTTAATATGTTCATCAAAGTTAATATATCCCACTAAATGATATTGCAAGAATTTAACTTACCGTGACCATGAGTTAATATGTTCATCAAATAATATTGCAACAAATTAGCATATCTAATATACGATAAGTGTGATGAAATCTTAACATGTAGTTGGTGGATACATTTTAACATGCCTAAAGTGAATAGTTGAATATGAATAATTCAGTTGGGTTACTATCATTTTTATCTTATTATCAGTTGGGTTACTATCACTACCTTATATAGCTCACACAACTCTAAATAACAATCACCATATTATTATTATTTGAATGTCATATCAATTTTCCTAATGCAATGTCACATCCATTCACCTTATCAAAATCCATCATTTTCACCCAACTTTACTTTCAACACTATTCTCTAATAATATAAGACAATTTTTTTTTCAAATGTATCTCTCTAAGCAAAAATAACTTCAAAGAATTTTGTACCTTTTTTTTTTTCAAATAGTTCCATAATTAAGTACCACAAATTTGATAATTTTAACTATAGATATCCTCCCACTCATGTCTAAAGGCAATCAACTATTGGAATAAAACAAAATGAGATGAGACATATATATGTATATATATATGATTTAAATATGATTTAAATATATAATTGGTAATGATAATAATTGTAATAATAATTTGGCAACCTATAGGAAGTGTGTTTAGTGGAGCGGGAAGTGGGCCCGGGGCAAAGGCCGGGGCAGAGGAATGGGTCAAAATGGTGAATGGTCTTCAAACGGGTGCGCTCTCGACCCGACTCGGCATCCCAATCATTTACGGGACTGATGCTGTTCATGGCAACAATAATGTCTACAATGCTACTATTTTCCCTCATAACGTTGGACTTGGGGCCACCAGGTAAAATTTTATTTACAGTTTAGAGCAATTTAAATATATAAGAAATTAATTGAAAAAAAAATAATAATACTTCTAAAAAGGAATATATACATATATATATATATATTATATAAAAACAAAAAACATCCTCCCATCATAATTAATTTTGTTAGAATATCACTTGTAAGTTATCTCACGTCGTTTATATAAAAAAAATATGTTTAATTTATGAGTCTAATGGATTACGCCTCCTTCCACCAATTGGTTTTGGGATGGAAGCTCACTTGGGCTTCCATTCGTGCCAAATTCTATTGCGACCGTGCGATAACGTACCCGTTTATCCAGTCCGTTTCTAGTAGGGCTTGGGCACCCAGTTCCGTATATGGGATTGAGCTTCTTATGAAGGACTCACTTTATATATGAAAAATAGACCTAATTGATAAGTTTAGTGGAATACTCTTCCTACCACCAATTAATTTTTGGGTGAAACCTCACTTAAGCTTCATCTCATTTTCCCTGCTTATGGTGCGGGCACCCGTTTTTCCCCA